TGTCCTTGAAAGTAGGACAATCATATATTTTATGATTCTTATCACAAATTATACATAAAAATTTTGTATTTAATTGTTTATTTTTATAACTTAGAAATGTTTTTATTTGATTTCCTTGTCCCTGTCCTTGTTTTAGAAATTGATTATTAGTGTTATAATTATTATTATAGGTAGAACGCACTTGAACATGAGGTTTAGAAACATTGATATCTGACTTGTTATTCCGATTCAAAGATTCTAATATATCGGCACGATCTATTAAAAATTTATAAAATTGTTCCAGATTGGTACATCACCATCTAAGCTACTGCGAACCTCTTCCCATTTCAATAAAGTGTTGTTATCCAATTTTGAAGATAACATAAACACTATTAATGTATCCCATGTATGCGTAGGTTGCCCTAAACTTGCCAAGGCACGCAAATCCTTTGTTACTTGATCTACCAGAAATCGCAAAGCACGCTCTGATTCTCGAGGAAGCTGCTTAATATTAAATATTGAATTTAAGTGATGATTAATAAGAATACGTTTATTATTATAGCGGCTACACAATAAATCCCATGCGCTGACATAATTGTTAGCAGACACCTCGAAGTTAGAAATAACCCTAGCCGCGTCACCTTGTAAATAAGAAATTAAGTAATGAAATTTATTAATTGGTGGTATACGGTCATTATTGTGAATTAAAATTCTCAAATGTGTCTTTAAAATCTAGCCAACGGAAATATGCACCGTCAAACTTATTAATTTGTATCTGTGGCAATTTTAATCCCAGGTCAGTACAAGAATTAGATTCATAAACGCAACATGAAACGTTATGCATTGAATTTCGCTTATGTTCACAATCAAATACCTTTGAAAACCTTTCAACTAAAGTTTTGGCGGTTGCAATGCTTATTATAATATCCTGTTCGATATTATCACGCTCATCAATTTCGGTGGAAATGTTTTCAGGACTTAAAACTTCTATTTCACCTTGCAAATCGTCAACCCTAACCGACAAAGCTTCAAATTTAGCTAATTTTAATTTCAACTCGGTAAACTCTATATTATTTAATTCCAGCTTATCATTAATACCAGTTAAATAATTTTTAAATTTAGTTATTTGTCCCTTTGCAGACGACCTTCTAATAACGAATTCTTTTAATCTTAATTTTCCTTCCACAGACATGATAAGCTACAATTAAAACAATAACGAAAATTTGAAATATATCTTAATTAAATGAAATTGGCTCACGTTCCTCGTTTCAGTGGTACCTGCCACGCAATGCTTTAGTTGCTTACTCACGGCTCCCGGCCGGTGCAATGCAACTGTCGCGTCGACGCGACAAAAAAAATCTGAAAAAATCGGCAAATGCGCTTGAATCTAACTACCTAAACACGGAATTAGCTAGAGAGCAATTAGATACCTTATTAGTGTTTACGAAGTCTAAGACGAAATACAAAAAAATATATACATATAATATACATATATAAATAAAATATAAAAATAATACTGTATATCTCCGTGTCCGTGTTTGGTATCTAATTAAATGTTATATATCGAAATCAAAAGATGAAACAACAATAAAATAATCACTAATTTTTTCCTAAATGTAGGTGCGTCCGTAGATGTAGGTACCTACGTGCTATGAAAAATTAAATTTTTAACCAATTACTTAATCTCACTACTTTAAAAAAGGATTATCAATAAATACTTATTTGCACAAATTAATGAATTAAGGACACAGTTTGGAACACAAAAAGAAAAGGACAAGGAACACTTAACTTTTGGTTAAATCTCTCGATGTGGCACTTTAGCTGTACTACTGCTCGATTGATTATTTCTTGATTGATATTCTTGATTAATCTTCTATTTCTTCTTTGTTCCCCTCATGGGCCACCATGTTCATTCTTTAGGGAATTACTGGGCCAGTAAATGAAACTCTTTAAACTTGTTTAATTTCTTACGAGTATATGACCTTTCGCTAGTCAAGTACAAAGAGAAGTGATGGCGCACGTCGCCCCACCTTACAATTATTATAATGCAAAAAATGCGCCTGATGTAAACATTGCGCAATGTCGCAACAAAATATTTATTATTATTGTCATACATTAAGTGTAACATAAATTCTATTATTATTCGAATGTTGTTTTTAAATTATGTCCAATGCCGAAGCATCTTCCGTGGGCAACTTCATTCTGTTAATTTTGTGTCACGGTGCGCACGCATCGTAAAATTTCACTCTCATTAATTTTTTATAACGCGCCTAAAGAAGTATAACTTCAAAAATTCTGTGAAACCATCTTTACACTTAACCTACGGTAATATTAACTCGGATATCTTTATTATGCACAATATACAAGATATTTAGATAAAGTAAAGTGCACTGGCCCCCACACTACGATTCCCTGTGTTGTGGGCAGCCAGTCTCTTCCTTTTGACACGTAAACAGTATTTTAAAAATTATATTAATTATTTCTACACATTTATATTAAAACTATTTTTGCACAATAATAATATTTTCAGTATCAGAATAGGACAGGTTAACAAGATATCGTTTGAGATGTTTAGTAAATGTATGTAATGTGATTTTTGAAATGTTCGTGATAATTTTGTTTTTAATGAAGTGGTTAAAGATGAAAGGGCCTCGGAAGGAGAAAAAGCGTTGGGCGAAGAAAGTGCGAGTTTTGGGTTGCTTATATATGGGTTTGCGTTTTGTTTGATGCGGTGCGGTGGGTGTTTGTTTCCAAAAAAGTCTGCATATTGCTATTAAATATAATTGTCTCACAGTTAAAAGTTTTGTTTCATTGTACAATTTTGAAGTTGAGTAGCGGAAAGGTTTCTTATATGAAATCTTAAGAATGGCACGTTGGGTGCGCTCAATTTTCAGCATTGAAGACAATACCGCGCCACCCCAAACCGATATGCAGTAAGATAATATCGACTGGCATAATGCAGTATACACTATCTTGATTGTATGTGGATCAGCAGGCTTTCTAAGGCGTTTGAAAACATTTATAAGTTTGCGAACTCGAGAACATAGGTAGTTAATTTGAGGGCCCCAACAAAGCCTTGAGTCAATAATTAATCCCAGGTATTTGGTTGTTTTAGTGGGTTCCAGGAGAGGACAGTTGCAGTTGCTGTGAAGGATCAAACATGAGTGTAATTTAATAGGCGGAACAGGGTTTGGTTTGCTGGATTTCAATATGTGAAAACATATGTATTTGGTCTTAGACGTATTTAAGGATAGGAGATTATCTAAAAGCTATTGAGAGATTTGGCGAAGACCTAAATGAGCTAACCGTGTGACTTGTTCCCAAGAGTGTGAGTAGAAGACTATAGCTGTGTCATCAGCAAATGAAAAGAGTTTAGCATTAGTAAGTGCGAGTGAACATAAATCGTTAATGTATACTAAAAAAAGCGTTGGACTAAGAACACTTCCCTGGGGCAAACCACATGAAACGTTTTCTAGTTGACTGCTATACCCATCAACTCGAACCCTCTGCTTTCTATTGAATAGATAGGACTTAAACCAATAGAGGATATTTCCACGAATTCCTTGTCTTTCTAATTTTTCGATTAGCAGTGGTCTGGATACAGAGTCAAAAGCTTTGGCTAGATCAAGAAAAACACCAATACACCTTTGTCCTTCATCTAATTTGGAACTTATGGTCTCAACCAATCCAGCGGTAGCATCCTCTGTAGATCTATTATGTCTGAATCCGAATTGATTGTTGGCAAGGATAGATTCTTTTTCCAAATAATTCAGTAATCTGACGTTAATGATTTTTTCTGTAATTTTAGCGAGTGTTGGGAGTAGAGAAATGGGACGGTAGTTTGAAATTTCCATTTTATTGCCTGATTTATGGATGGGTGTGATATTAGCTATTTTCCAAGATTCAGGGAAGATACCTTGTTCAATACTAAGATTGCAGATATAAGAAATTGGTGCTGCAATTATGTTTTTTAATGATATTACCACTCGGTTACTAATATTATCATCACCTGGGGCAGAATTAGGCTTAAGAGAGCTAATAATTTAAAAATAATAATGATGTCTTTTTAAATTAATTTCTTGAATTAATTTATAAATTATAACAATCTAAATTCCTTTTCTCCTTTCTCTGTCGAATTTGTAATTTATAACTCGTCATGATCGTAGAACAATGTCGGATTTGAAAAAAATCCAAAATCCAGTTTTTATCATATATGGATAAATATTACGGCAACATTAAAGTCGGTAAATTGACCGATTTGAAACCTTTTTGTTTGCCTGTATGCCAATTTTCATAATAACAGAATATCAATTAATAATAATAGTTATGACAAAAACTAACATGATTATATTATATTGAAATGGCTGCCCTGTAATGTTTACTATTTGTCAGATCCGTCACTATGCTACGACTGTGACGAACTGTTTAAAATATTTTTTATTGGTATTGAATTAACGCGTTGATATTGCTGTCCGTAGGCCGTAGTTGGAAGCGGTGTTTAGATATAAATATATCATGTGCTCATCTGCTTCGCCCTAACTTGCTCATTTAGATCAATATTCTGATGTACAATTCTCTAAAAATCTAACTTTAAACATTGGTGCTAATTCTTTTAAGTAAAAAATTGCTCATACAAATTTTGTAAGAAAATTTCAAGATTTCTGGCACTAAATTACACCATTTATCAATAATATTCTTTGACTAGTGTTGCAATTTAACAGTTTACTCGCTCCTAAATAAAGGCCATACTTCCCCTTCAAAGGCCGGCAACGCAAGTAAAATGGGTGTACATAGGCTGCGATGACAGCCCTTTTTAGGCGTAAAAAAAAAAACTTCAAAATTTTCTAACATCAGCAGCTACAAAATTTTCTAAAAAGTGCCAAAATCTTAGAATTATTAGTATTAGCACTAATTAAAATGCATGATTTGGGGAGCTTAGAATGGAAACGTCAGAATATGGATAGCATTAGATGCTAGGGGATAAATTTAGGGCAAGTTAGGGCGTAGCGGTGAGCTGAGAAATGATGGGGCGTAGGTCCAAATGGGGCTTCGGTCCCGGCTGCGGTCTCAGCGGCTGGTGCTGGCACGTTTCAAGCGGAATTCGTACCGAGAGCTGTTGGCGAACATCGCTTGAATGTTCTTGTCGATTCTCAACCGATACCGGCCAGCCCGTTCCACCTGAAGGTATGGTTGTATTAGATTTTTGAAAATTATTTGCAGTTATTGCGACTTCGATACAAAGAGTTCCCTCGGGAGTTGTGTGCGATATTGCGGGCTACTCGATTGTGAGGAAGTTTCATGGATCTGCTCTGTGCTCTTTAAGTTCTCATGTCATTTCCACACGATAATATCCTGTCTATAACTTATTTTTATAATAATTACAGTGTTAGGGTCTGTTTCACAATGTATGGATAAAGTACCAAATAGCTATATAACACATCAATTATTTGGAAGATAAATTGTGCTATTTTACATTCATTCGACCCATTACTTATAATGGACTTTATGTGACGAATGGCGCTATCTGACAGTCGTGAAACGCAACAATAGTGCTTATCCTACCAATAAGTAATAAATAGCTAATTTGGAACTTATTCGTACATTGTGAAACAGATCCTAAATCTTTATAACGTCATTCGTTATAACGAATGTGTCTCTATAACGTAAAAATGTGTTAAATTTATTTGTTTTAACCCAATACTCTATATAACGTATAAAAATGTTCGGTTTCTTGAAATTCGTTATATAAAGCGTTTAAAGTGTATCTGATTATCCTCATTTTTAACATGTGTGATATTTGAGAGCAAAATAAAATTACGATTACGAAAGGGTGATTTCTATTATTATATTTCTAGACTCGGAATTTCTTTAGACGAAATAGATTATAACATTACTATACAATTACATTTCCGAGTCAGTACCTAAAATTCCGCGCACCAAAACTTTCGCTCGTATAGTATAGGAAAACATCGTGAGGAAAGCGGCGTGCTTAGGTGCTAAAAGTAGGTCGATCTACTCGCCTATTTGGGAGAAATTATGACGATACAGAATTCTAAGAGCAAAACCTGGCGGTTTTAGCGCCATGTTTTAAGGCATTTCGAAATATCAATTACATATTTAAATAAATTAAATTGATTACAATCAACTGAGCAGTGTTGGCCTAGTGGCTTCAGCGTGCGATTCTCATACCTGAGGTCGTAGGTTCGATCCCCGGCTGTGCATCAATGGACTTTCTTTCTATGTGCACATTTCACATTTGAACGGTGAAGGAAAACATCGTGAGGAAACCGACACGTCTTAGACCGAAAAAGTCGACGGCGTGTGTCAGGCACTGGAGGCTGATCACCTACTTGCCTTTTAGATTTAAAAATGATCATGAAACAGATTCAGAAATCTGAGTCTGAATCTGTCAAAGATCGATGACAATGCAATAATCAGAAAAAAAAAATAAAAAAATAAAAAAAATTTAACTAAAAAATAAATAATAGTTAAAAAAAACTAGAAATCACGCTTTATTACATATTACATATTATATTTACAATAAAACATTTTTTTTTCTTATTCAAACTATTAATAACTTATATTTATTAATTTTTTTACATTATTCTTAATTAATATTTATTAAAATTTATTTTCTGTTTTTTAGTTTAGTTTTCTATGTAAAGCGTGTGTTCTAGTTTTTTTAAACTATTATTAATTTTTTTAGAAAACAGGGGCAAACCGGTAGGAGGTTCTTCTGATGTTAAGTGATACCACTCATGGACTCTAAATGCTCGCGAGTGCGTCGTCGTTATTTCCTATAATTTCTTAATGTTCTCATTTGGTATACCAAATGATACCAAATAATAAAAATGATTTGATAATACCTATACTTGATTGAATAGAATTCTATGTTCTCTAATTTTATTTAAAAATATACAGTGTTATGTAAAATTGTTGCAAGTGCGTGTAATTCTCTGTATTATACGCCATATTAATAAATACATTTTCAATTTCAATACGAGTCAACATCTGACTCTATACAAATATTTTATTTGTTAGTGAATGTATCAATTTGATTGAAATAAAAATAAAATAAAATGATCAACATTAAAAGCGGTTTTACGGCGAGTGATAATTACGTCCCTTGTCGTTATTTACAAACAGTAAATAACGCACAAGTAAAGATATTAAAATAAGTAGCATTCTATTGTATTGCCCTAAAATGGGTCAAATTTGGTCCTTTTTCGGTGGAAAACTTTTTTAGTAGCAACATTTATGAAATGTCAGAATTCTACGGAATAAAATTCAGAGTATAGTAGATAGTACCGGTGACCCCAGAGCTGGCACTTTCCTCGCTCAACGAATAAGTATCTCAATACAGCGAGGAAATGCTGCCAGCGTTAAAGGTACACTGCCACAAGGACCAAACTTTTTTAATTTGTTTTGATTATCTTTTATATAATTTATTATTTTGAGTTTGATTTATGTTTTTGGTTAATTACAAGTCTAGTCAATGATTTTATCTGGTGTTTTTAATTTCCAGTTGAAACAATGGCCGCTGGGCCGGGAAATCTAGAAGTCACCGTCAACGGTGGTAGAGTACTAACCGCTGCTGCAGCTCAAGGCGCCCACACATACGCCATCAGCTTCACCCCAAGGGATCCGAGACCTCACACTGTGGAGTTGAGATTTAATGGCGATCATGTGCCTGGTGAGTATTTTTGATTACTAGTTTTCTGTGTACTAAATATTTAGATGTACTCCTTCCTTATAGACTCCTTTATTTATTCCTGTTTACGAAGCTGCATAGAAAATACTTGTTTAAGGAAAAATATTTTTTTGGCCCTAAAAGTTGAAAAAAAAGTTGTATTATATATTTTATGCTAAATAATTTATTGAAATCTCAAATGACGAATTATAAATTAAAATGCCACGTGTTTAGAATAAATAAATAATTAATTTTCGACACTTAATATTTTAATGACAATTAAATTCATTAAATTTCTAACATATCTTCCTTTTCCCCTCCAAGTCTCGGAAATCTAAAGTTTTTAGATTTGTATAAATATGAACAAGAGATAAAAATTAGTTTGCCAAAGAAGTTTTACTTCTGACATGTGTACTTTGTACGCACGCACTTTTTTAGTTGAAATTTGGCTAAGCTATAAATAAATAAACACCAAATTTCGAATGCCTCAATCTTCTTTTGTCCACTATACGAATTGACCAGCACTCTGATGAAGCTGGACATAGGACAAGTCCTATAGATAATAGATAATAAGAGAGGCGCTGGACAGAAGCCGGTGGAAACAGATAGTCAGCTAGCTTTGTTGCTGACCACGACGCTCAGACATGAGTTGCCGATATATAGAGAGATAGATAATAGAACTATGTTGGTTGCTCGAAGTTTTTTTTATACAATATTTCGTATAATTACATGCAGCCCATTCGTGTGTCATGTGTCAGCGCCGGCCCGCGTAATAGGCGCTGGTTCGGGGGAATCCCCGGACAAAGTATCAGTGGGCGATGCGTATACGTTCAGCGTGGACTCGCTCGCCTCGCCACATGTGGAAGTACTTGGACCAGCTCGAAGACCGGTTCCAGTCCAGGTGTGACTTTGATATATATTTCAATAATCAGTTTTTCCTGCAATCATGCGCATGTCAAATAAAAGTTTCTCCGCTATTAAGTTGTGGAATAGGCTGCCCGACTCCATACGATTGGCTACCTCTCTGTCATCTTTTACAACTCTTCTATATAAACATTTCTTTACCTCATCCTATCCTGATCAATCGTGACTTGTGTAATTCTTATGTTTCCTTTTGCATCACTATTGCTGTTCATGAACTTGTAAGATTAGGTTTTAAGTTTTTAGTTTGTTATTAATATATTTTTTTTGTATTACTTTAGATTAAGGATCTATATTTTTTTTATATAACATTTGGTTCTGCACTTCTCGCACGCATCATGTTTCTTTTTTTTTTAGTTTTTCTCTTTAACTAGGGTTGCCTGGAAGAGATCGCTTTTTAGCGATAAGGCCGCCCATTGCATCCCTTATAATTTTTATGTATTGTGTTATTTGTGTTTCTTTTATTTTTATTGCAACGAAGTGTAAATAAATAAAATAAAAATAAGTTTCTGGCTCAAATTAAAAATATTTAAGACACTGAATAAAATTTTATTAATTTTTGTTTTTAATAATAATTTGCAGGTATCGGCCGATGATACGATAGGTGAAAACGAAGCGAGTAAACGGTACACCGTATAGTTTGTACCCGTTGACGTTGGAGACCAAAGTATTGAAGTGAGTCTTTTTTAATATCTTTACGTATTGAGTAATTAAAAAAAAAAAACAAAATATAGAACATCCCTTCGATGTCCGTCATTCTACAACTGAGCGCTTCTTAAGACGTACCAAAGTGCGTACCAACTCTTGAAAAGCTGGCAACGTACTTGCTTTCTACTTTCGTAGCACCACCATGCGTACCAATTTAAAAAAAAGCCGGCAACGCATTCGCTCTCTATTACCGTACGCGCACCACTACGACATCGAAAAACGGTCCTTCAAAAGTGCGTACCTATTTTAAAAAGCCGGCAACGCATTTGCCTTCTATTATGGTTAACGGTCGAAAAACTATTGCAGCATATCAAGTTTATATATATATATATATATATATATATATATATATATATATATATATAGTTATATCAATCCGTCAATTGTTGATCATGCGTGCTATATCGCGAGCACTTTGTTGATCCGAAAACCTATGTTGATCCGGGTGGTTTTTGTTGATCCAATATAATATTTTTCATACAAATGTGGTTCCGACCGGATCAACTATTTACTCCGTTGAAGTTTAGGAAACGCAACCGAAATGTTGATCCAATATACAAATCCACTCCGATAGTTGTTGATCCGATTCAAATGGGCCAATCAGAAGTCAGCAAGTCCCCTACTGGACATACCTAAGGTATATGGATGGTTTAATTCCTATAATTTATTGCAAGACCACATAATCAGTAACTTTTCTTTATTTATTCAGTTTTTATGTTTATAGGTATGATATATATAATATATGGTAAGGAAATTTGTTGACGACACGCGCTTGTCGCTTACCCGATGTTAAGCTTCGTGGCCAGCTGCATGCATGCCAGCAGCTCAATATCATACAGAGTATGTGATATTGTATTGCACTCAGTAACCCTGAGATATAAGATCTCGAGTCTCGAAGCCCTGTTATTACTCCGCAAATAATGCCCTTCATCCCGGGACACCGTAGCGTTGTTTAGCTACCGCTTGGCCGTTGATTAACTGACAAAGGTCTGGCCTTTCCTCAGACTCGCCTTCGCATGAGTCCTACCAATACTCGATATAGTCTTATATAAGGACAATTTCTAATTGTTATTATAATGTTTAAGTGGCATGGTTATTGGTTACATATATTAATTAAAGTGATAATTTAGAAAGGCAAAAAATGATCTTATCGCATCATATCAAAGTTGAGTTTGGATGACATTTAGAAAAAAACATTTGTTATCAATCATATTTTTTTATTATATAACATCTTTAATACGTTAGACATTACTAACATTTACAAAATAATTTTGAAAATAAACAAACATAAGTAACATTTCCTTTATAGGTACTTAATCGGCAATTCTAACATTTATAACAAACATTATAATTAGCCAGATAATAAGAAAAAAATATGTTCTCAATATTTTTATGAATAATATAACTTAAAAAACATCTTCAAAACATTTATAATCAGTCAGTCAAAGATTATTATTATTAACAGGTAGAAAAAAAATCACATACCAAATATTCTTACTACCCATTCAATAGCATATAGTCAGGTACTATCACTAAACCACTAACATTAAGGAGACATTACATGTGCCCTTGTTATGAGATCTATTATTATACATAATATATTAATTATATATTATAATAATTACTATTAATATTATGAGGAACTTGTTGTATCACACAGAATCTTCATTAAAATATATTTACTTTTTTTTATAAATATTGTTAACATACGTGTTAAGTTGCATCCAAGTCCTATTTTGAAGAATAGGTTCTTTATTTAAAACTTCCATACATTTGTTTTTGCCTGGATTTATCTTTTTATGTATGTATGATTGGAAATATTTTTGACTAATTGTATCTCTTCATCCGACCACTTTCTATGACTGTTTTTTTTCGTTTCTGAATTGGATTATCACTATCACTATCGCTTAAACTTGGGCATTTTATTTTTGTCTTTCTGTTATTTGGTTTAATATTGATATTTTTATTTTTAGAATCTTTATGATATATATTATTTTCTTTGGGTCGTCTAGTTTTACTTTGTTTCTGAATCTGTTTATCATCATCAACATCGCTTTCACTTGTACTACTTGACCATTTTCTTTTCGTGTTGCTTCTGTTTGGCTTAATTTTGGGGTCTTTATTTTTAGGATCTTGGTTGTAATGTTTGTCTTGTATTTTATCGTTTACTTCATTATAGTCTCCAATTTCTATATCGTCCATGTTCTTATTGACTGTAGTTTCTGGTGTTTCGATAGATATTTTGGGGTTTGTAAGTAAGATGTTAGATTGGTCACTTTCTATTGCCGAATTGTTTAAAGATGGCGTCCTTTCCTCAAAGTTTTTAGTTTCTTGGTATGATTGAGACCTAATCGTTTCTATTATGTTACTCTTCTTCTCCATTAATGTATTTTCATATTCTAAGAGTTGAGATCCTACAACAGCTTTTTGGAGTACCTGCATAGGCAATCTATAATTTTGTGCATGAACTGATATATTATGCCCTAGAAATCCTGCCAATTGCTCAGTATAATGATCATTTTGTTTAGAATGAATTTGGGACATTGTAGCAATATGATGTCTCATTCCGGTTGATGTTATCATCTCGGGGCGTTTCAAATTACACTGTTTTTTTATCATATCTAAACACTTACCGCCCTCAAAAGGTTCTTGTGTACCAGGTCTTGGAAATAAATATTGGTTGGAGCTTGGAATTTTTAAATCTTCACGGCAAGCTATTATTAAATCTATGTTTTCTCGCATTATTTTTGTTAGCAAAATAGGCACACCCCTTGTTCTTTTACCGGGAATCTGAAATACGTCTAATTCTTTAATACACTTCCTCTGCTCTACTGTTAAACTTTCCAAAACCTTTTCGGGCACTTCTTCATTCTTTCTATTGATGTAAAACGTAAGTTCAGCTTCAGCTACGTCACCTGAACGTTTTCGGTCCAACATTATAATGTGAGCTATTGTTACTATGCACAATAATTCATAATTTAAAACACATCTATCTTTTCTCAATCTGCTCGCATATTTAATTTCTAATTTATGGATTTTTTGCATAACGGTATTAATGTCACTGTCCAACGGCATGACTTTTTCTTTCGTTAAGTGATTTCGTTTTCTACTTTTCTCAGCGTTCGACGAAATCTCCCACTCCCAATTGATTTCAATTAAATATTTAAAGTCATCTAGTTTTTTTTTATATGCTTCCTTATAGGCTGTGGATTCGTTTTGCATAATAGATTGTGTGTATAGTATTTCAACACATCCCAAGACAGCGGGACGCATACGTGAGGGTATGCTTATAATTTTGACCATGCCTGTATGTTCATTAAAGCCACACATTACTTTTATGGCACTTACAAATGTTTCATATTTTTCAGGATCAATTGCGTCAGTGAGATTTTCAATAGTTGTGTCTTTTTTCCGCAATAAAATTAAAAGAGTAGCAAATCTCTCATTTTGGAGCAAATCGCTTTACGACTTCGTCGTTCTTTTTCTTCTTCAAGAGACGAGCACCGTATGCTATGATTAATGGATCATTTTTAACTACTAATGAAACTTCATCAAAACGAAGATGCGACAGTATTTTTTCTTTTAGCTCAATCGAAGCGTTCGCCGTATTGGGAACGATTGTTAAGCTGTGATTAAACAATGCTTTTCTTTTAAGTGACGGAAGAACATGTTCAGAAGCTTTACAATTTCTTAAATGTCTGAAAAATGAAGATCTTTTAAATGTGCCCAAGCATGTTTTACAAGTAGCGTAAGTTGACGGACTAGAGGTACCCTGGTTGCTTCGTTTTGATGGTAATAAGGTTAAATGAGCGTCCCGATCAAAGCTCACTTTAGAATTGTGTAAAAAATTTCCCTTGTTTCTCAATTTATCTGTAATTTTTTGTCGTTTTAGCTTTCGTATTTTAGGGTCTGTATCATTGATAGCTTTATACTGAAGAACTTCGATTTCATCTGCGTGGTTACGTAAAAGATGTCTAGAATAATTAGTTACAATTGCTTGACAGTAGAAACATGCATTTCTTCGGTCCCACTTACGTTTACTCGCCGTATTATTAACGCTTTTTTCAACTTTACCTCCTCCAAAATCCGGAATTCCTTCTATGAGTACACTTACGCCCTCATTAGTCGATAAGTTCTGGCTACTTTCCCCACTATTGACTTGTGTGTTTCTTTCTTGTAACTGTTTTACTTTTCTATTGCAATTTTTTTTCAACTGAACGACTGGGTCGTCAGCATATTCATCGTTAAAAGACTAAAACAAAAAAATAAATATTATATAAACTTAGTTTTTATTTTTTATTTTTAATTAATAAACTTTAAATAAACTTGTAAAATGGAGCCGGAGTTTTCAACAATTACAAGTGCCAAATTAATATTCGGTGATCATTAAAAAAAAATCTACTATCGCGTGCATATTTTTCATAATAACAATATGTTGTGTGATAATGCGATGGTATCACCTTATTTAAGCTATCATCGCTATCATAGCCCGCTTTTTTTGGATCAAAGTCCGAATCATCACTAGGTGAAAAATCTCCCACGTCAGAGTCAGTCAGCGCTGCCGCGACCTGCTAAGAAAAGACCGAATAAATACATACTACCATTTTAATTCTACTAGTGTCTCATCAATAACAATTAGGTCATATAAAATAAATACCTGTGTGTGTTGAGTAGTATCATCAGGAAACAATTGTTGAACATCTATAGAGATGTCTGAAGGTATGTTTTCAGACAGATTAGACATATTCATAAGTGACGATATTCCCGATACTTCAACAGAATGTTTGTGGTCAGGTACATATTTATTCCGGTGATTATCATCATCAATATGGCATTTACTTCTGATTAATAGTGCAACTTCAGTTTCTTTTTCCTTTTCAATTGCATTCTTAAAAAATGTATAATCATTATATACCTATATTTATTATAAG